AGCTTGGGGAAGTCAGTTCAACAGAGGCTTAGTCTTTGGGATGAAAGGGTATCATTCACACTCAGGATCAGACATCCTCCAACAGCAGTTCTACTTCCAAGATGGTGGAGTAGCCATGCAAGCCACAGAGGGCAGGGCACAATGTCACATCCTCTGGAGGAGCACAACTGTGTGGACTCCAGGCAGCTCCCTCAACTGGGCTTAGTGCTGTGAGGACTAACAGGATTCCCACTGGTGAGGACAGTAGGTGTCCAAGGTGTTGATGGGGGCTGCTGAGATTCTCTTTCTTACCTTTTCCCCATGGGGAAAAGTTCCCCTGTTCCCCTGCTGCTCTTGGCTGGGGAGTGGGGTGGTGGAGGGTGGGTGTTTCTTTCAGTGTGGCTATCCTGAGTTTCTGTGCTCACTAGCATTTTTGTTACTCCTTTGAAATGCTCTAGTGCTCTCCTTTAGTTATTTTCATCCAAGTGTAGTTTTTTATTTATTGTTTCATCTGTCTGAGAAGTAGGATCTTCTAGTCAGTCATCTTGTTCCACTTCTCCTAGCAGATTCTCCCAGATAATGGATTTATATTTTAACAAAGTTCAAATTAAACTAAAGGAATTGAGCTTTTCTAGATTTTCAGGATTCAGCCAGATGCCTGGGAAGGACCTGGGCTTCTTCTGGAGAAAACCACATTGTTCACCTCCCATAGGCTACACCTATGTACTGGTATCCTACATTATGCACGAAGCATGTCCTTGAAAACCTGAGTAGGAATAAAGCTTTTATGAATCGAAACTTACTTCCTTACATGCCCAGTTTTACTATTTCATACTTGCTTCATTGAGAATTTCTGATTGACCTTTAAGTAGGTGCTTAAAAAACTGTGCTTCCCACACTACAAGTAAAGATCAAAAATCAAGTGTTTAACTGTACAGGATTAATCTGTATATTATAAGAAGATGCAAAGGATCTTTCTGTTGGGCAAAATTGTTGGGCACATTACATCTCTGTAATATGAATGGTCACCATCTACTCTGTCATTTTGGTTACTTTAATTAACTTTATTTTTATTTATTTATTTTTTATTTATTTATTTTACATTCTAAGATGTTGCAGAGCACTTGGAAGGGAGGGAAGAGGGGAAAATGAAGGGAAATAGGGTATAAGGAAGAGGGAGGGGGCTTGGTTGAGGCCCATGGCACCCCCCTCATTCTGTTAGGGGAGAGCAGGGGGCTTCCATCAGTGGCTCAGTCATTGCTGAGCTGGATGCAGATGTCAGGTGGCATGGCTGAAGCCCTTGGCTCCCCACCACCCTGGCTTAGGAGCCTGGAGTGTTTCCAGTGGCAGCTCAGTGGTCTTCACTTGACTTGCTTAACTTTATTTTTAAATATATCTAGCCTTCTGCCAACTAGGATTTATGTGGGTTTGTTATATTGATGACTTCAAACATCAGTTGGGCCTATGTATGTTTTTGTGGGATGTATTGGGAGTTGTTTTGTTTTGTTTTAAGGGGCACAAGTGAAATGCACACAATGATAGACTTTTGTTACAAATGCTCCTGCTAAGTGATATAAAAGATCCTGTGCTTTTATGCACTGGACAAGAATTTTGATTCTCAAATTTCAATCCTTATTTGGTCTCTAATAAAAAATGTGGTAGATAAAGCTGACATCATACATACTTGAAGACTTCCTAGGCTTCAACTTTAAAAGGCAAGAACAACTCACTTACACAGTGTCGTAAGACTGTCATGAAAAAGCAGGTTTCCAGCCATAGTATGCCTGGTGCTAAAGTCACGGGACTGGCAATCTTGAAAGTCCTGCTTTGAATGACCTTCTCCACATTGCTGAGGAAACTGGTGGCCTGCATCCCTGGCGTCTTTCCCCAAGTACTTTGTTCTCCTCACTAGATCAGATGAGAGATTATTTCCTTTCGAAACATGATTTGATTTTTTCATTGGCTAGAGGGATAATATACTAGCAGCAACAATTTAAAACCTTTATGAAAAGTATTCATAGAGATTTTTGAAGTTATAATTAACTGTGTATGTAATTAAGGAAAAGGCCAAAGTGTGCAAATAATCATTTTTCTATTTGACTTTGAAAAAGCAAGTTAATTTTTGCATTTTAATATGAGTCTTTGATGTTCTAGAATTTATAACCCCTGAAATTCATAAACTGATTTAGGAGGAATTGAAAAATTGGACAGTTTCCCCATCCCTACCCAGTGTGTATGCAGAAGAGGGAATTACATCACAGAGAATTTTTTAAATGGTATTTATCATAATTAGCCTCTGGATAGGTAAATATTGACTCAATTCATTTTTATTTCTGAAAGGAAGGATATTCTTAAAGTTTCCTTACCTTCTGCTTTGCCTAAAATCAAAAGATTTGAGCTCCCTCTGAGTGTATAAACATTATCCCCATAAGATCTATGAGATTCAAAAAATTTTTAAATAGAGAATGAGCGATTTAGGGCAATTACCTGGAAATTCTAAGGACCTACCCTGCCTTGCCATACTGTGACATATTCTGTAAGAAATGAAACGAGTTGTTACATGAGCCATTGTACTTTGTTTTTGAAAGCCAAAAAGAGTAAACAGTCAATAGTATTTTCCAGGACCCTGTAGAAAGCTCTCTTCTCCTGTCACTTAGCTTCACATGCTGAAACGTAATATGAACTTGGAGTCTGCTGTCACACTATATGCATTTGTAGCATTATTTAAAATCCTGCTTTAACTCTTTAGCTTATAACTTTTGGTTGTCCCCTTTGGAATTATGAGAGAAACCGGAGAAAGTCACTTGAGAATGGCAGAAAACATAGGGCGAATATTATCATTTGTACATAAGACAATGCAGAATATTTTTTGTCAACCTAAAGTGAACTACCCCACTGGAATCCATTTTAATAACCTCTAATGGAATATCTGCCTCAACTTTATCTGTATGCACATCTTTATGAGATATTCTGCAAATTACAATGGAAGGAGGCCACAGATATCTTTTCTTATAAAAGAAAAATCAGGAAGAGTTTATAGGGAAGGAGTCACTTAACCACACACACAATGACATTACGATTCTACTCTCATTTAATAAGGCACATGCTTTTCTTTTGACAGAGGAATTCAAGGGCTCCACCATCGTTGAACTGATGAAGAAGGAAGGCACTACCCTCGGTCTGACAGTGTCAGGAGGAATTGATAAGGATGGCAAGCCGAGAGTTTCTAATCTGCGGCAAGGAGGAATTGCTGCTAGGTAACTGCCTCTCAGGGAAATGTAGAAAAAGGAACACAGGGTGTAATTAACTCAAAAATTAAAGCTCCATCAGAAAAGGTCACTAATAAATAAATGACAGCTGCCATCTGCCGGGCAGCACATTCCAGCCAAAGCACAGTGAGGCATGTTTCAGAAGCTGCCCCAGATCTGCCCTTGGGGCTTTTCTGGCCTGTGCTGAAGTCAGTAGGGGGACTCTCATCTCAACTCAGTAGCCGGACCCTCAGAAGGTTTTAATATTAAAAAGCCCGTGTGGATCTAGTCCCCACACATGCCAATGAACACCAGACAGGCTGCAGGGGGGATGAGCTGCTCCAATCATCTAAATGTGAAACAGATGACCCACAAGATGTCAGGGGTGGGGGGTGAGGGAGGGCCTGCCTCAGAGGCAAATGGCGAGCCTACAAAGAGCGGGAGCCCCAGCTTCGAGTTTCTAAGTAAAAATTTGGCTTGTCCCACATCTTCTCTACTTTTCTGCTTGTGAGATGTTCCTTTTCACCAAGACAAAGAGATGGTTCCTAAAGGACAGAAGCCTTGGAGTAGGTCTCACTTTGTCCTTCCTTCCCTGAACTACAACCTGCACTAGTTACTGCCGAAGGAAGAAGGTCCTGAATGCTGGGCAGGGCTGGGCTTGCTTTATGGGCAGATTCTAAGTTTACCTCACAAGGAGGGGCTGGAATGGTAAGGTGGTAATGGAATGACAATGCATTAAAAGTAAGTTAGTGTATCTTAAATGCTGGACACCAATATTCTTGTCCACATAATTCCAAGCTGTATTTTAGAGTTTTTGCCTTATAAAGTGTCACCTGAAATATTGACTACTTTTGATGATCACCCCTTTTGTACAACTTATAAGCTTGCTCCAATTGACTATTTGATGATTAGGAGGCCTCGTTTGTAAGACAGGCTGATGTGAACACATGCACCTTAATCTGCTTTCTCCGGACTTTAACGAGACTTCTTTCCACACCCATAGCCTCCTTATTTTATAACAGTCATGGTCAGTCCATGATGCTAGGGCTTCATGTGTCTACAGAGCTTCCTCATGTCTAGCCCTTAAAGCAAGTGTGAAGGGAGAAGGGCATTTTCAATTGTATTAATGCTGTAATTAAAAGTAGTACCACACCAGTTATATTGAGTATTAAAAATCACCAAATATTCATTGTTTAAGGCACTACCATTTTAGAGGTAGTAAACAAAATAATTAAAGATAAGATCCCTGCCCTAAAGGAGCTTATAATCTATTAGGGGATATAAGATATTTAAAAGAAAAAAACATGAAAAGTTTGGGAGCAGCGGTGGCATTGCATAATAGTCAGAAGCAGCCGCACAAGAGTTATCCCAGAGCATGAAGCGGTCAGGCTGCCGGGGGCGTGGGCAAAGCAGAGGTCAGGGCGGCGGCGGGGAATGCAGGTGGGGTGGACCGGGAAGGCGCCCCAAAGGGGGAGTGACTGCGGCTGGACTTAGATCAAATAAATGCGTTTCTATTTGGGGAGAAAATGTTGAAAGTCTCATCAGTGACACAGATTTTAACTCCTATCATTGCTCTTGCTGCCTGCTCTTGGTTTAGAGGTAGAGTTTGACTAAAAGCCCAGGAGCAGCCAAAGTTCTATTATGTTGGTAAAGAGAGACGGGACTGTAACTGAAACTCTACGCTTGCATTGTCATTTCCTCTTCACCAATACTTTTTATTGGTCCTGTTGTCATCAATAAATAGCAAAATGAGCTGACCCTTTCCTTGCCCCTGGACAGGCTTCCAGTGAAGATGCTGAAAGCTATAAAATGTGTGAAAGGCAGACAGCAAAAATGAGAAGAAAATGATCTGGCGTGTCTAGGATCTGGATCCGTCCCCAGAGAACCAACACTTTTGGGATGGAGCAACTAAAAACGTTTCTCTTTATTTTGTTTTATAGGGCTTTTAAAAATAAATGAGGCAGGGGTTGGCCAGTTAGCTCAGTTGGTTAGAGTGCCATGTTGGTAACACCAAGGTCGAGGGTTCAGATCCCCATACCGGCCAGCTGCCCCCCAAAATAAATAAAAAATATAAATAATATAAATAAAAGAGGCAAACACCAAAAAAATCAGAGGTAGCGGCGGACCCAGAGCAGGACTTGTGAAGTGTAAGAGACAGTGAGAATAAACAACACCCACCAGCTCTCACTGCCCTCAGCTCTGCTGCTCTGAGGGCCAGCCAGGGACTCCTGCTCTGTCAGCCTTGTAGGCTTGCATGGTTATGTACACAGGGAAAGTGGCAAGTGGGGTCAGACTGGCCTGTGGAGGGGATGGGCCCACTGAAGCCACATTGTCTGTTTTGCAGAAGTGACCAGCTGGATGTGGGCGACTACATCAAAGCAGTGAATGGGATCAACCTGGCCAAATTCCGCCATGACGAGATCATCAGCTTACTGAAGAATGTCGGGGAAAGAGTGGTTCTCGAAGTAGAGTATGAGCTGCCACCAGTCTGTACGTAATCACAGCCAAGGGGCAGAGCAGCCGCACCCTACAGCAGTTGACTTATTTCTTTTCCTTTTGCTATTAGCGTCTCATTATAGGATGGCAGAGTTTCTTGATATTTAAAAATTATTTGAATTGAGAAACTTATAACCTACTCAGGAAGAATGGAAAAGACCATAGGTAAAAATGAAATTATATAGGTCCTGAGTTCCATTAAGATGATCTGTGAACATCGTATTTACTGCTTAAGCTATTTTATGGAATAATCAGCATAGTTATAAGTTCTGTGCATTAAGTACCATCCAGGCTTTGTGCTTAGTGAATAGGTTTAGGAAAAGCATGTTTAGCATGTTTTATATTGACTCTTGGATACATGTGTTTGTTTCTGAAGCATGAAAATATGAGGGTATTCAAAAAAATTCACAGATTCATATTATCTTTTAATTCTATTTTTCCGTGAACTTTTCAAAGTACCCTGTAGCTTCAGAACTCATTAATATCAAGTCATAATAATAGTACAGTAATAATAAGAGCAGCCAACACACTTTTAGAGCTTTCTAAATGCCCGACATTATAAGAAACTTGACTTGCATTGATTTATTTAATCCTCACCACAAGGAGGGTCAGCATAACAGAGACAAACTTTAGTATCAAATAGCCAGGTTCAAATCCCAGCTCCACCTTTTACTGGCTACACACCTTTGAGAAAGTTACTTAAGCTATCTATGTCTCAGTTTCCACATCTTTAACATGGAGATAATATTAGTTTCTACTCATAGATTTGTTATAAGGATTAACTAAATATTTGTAAAACACTTAGAACAATGCCTAACACTATAAAAGTTTTTGATAAATAATAAATAAATAAACTCTACAAGATAAGCATTATGATCATTATTTTTCTCTTTTTACAGAGGCTTAGTTAAGTAAATTAGTAGTCTTTCCCAAATTAGTAGGCTGCAAAGTCAACATCTGAGCCCAGCCTGCCTGACTCCAAAACTCATGTGTTTATTCATTGTGAGGCATACCTTATGCTATATGTTGCTGCTGCCCTGCATCTAAGCTATGCTGTTCTAGCACCACCTCTCCTATTATTAGCTGTTAACATGGATGCTACCCTGGGAAAACTCTTTGCTCTTCCATACTGGTGAGAATGCTGATTGATTATGAAGAATCGGTAATAACTCATTTGTTCAGCAATGATTTATTGAGCATTTACCATGTTCCAGCAACCACTACATACGAGGAACTTGGGATGCATTGGTGGAGTTTACATTCTAGTCAGGGGAAGAAAGATATAAAATTAAACCATAATAAATAAGTAAATTATATAGTATGGGTCATGAGTGCTATGGGAAAAAGAAAGCAAAGCAAGGAGAGTATTTGAGAGTGCTGGGATTGGGGTGGGATTGAAATTTTAAATAGGGTGGTTAGGAACAGCCCCATTGTGAAGGTAGTATTTATCAGTGACTTGAAGGAAGTGAGGGAATTGACTGTATGGATTTCTGGGCTAAGAGAGTTCCAGGAATAAGGAACAGCCAGTGCTAAGACCAATAGGCAGGGTCATTCAAGAAATAGTAATAAGGAAGCATGGCTGGAGCAAAACGAGCAGGTGAAGAATTAGGAGACAAGGTCAGAAATGTAAAGGGTAGGGGCCGGCCCGGTGGCGCACTGCGCTAGTGCGCCGCTTGGGAAG